TATAAATTTGTTATTTTTTATATATTATAAGTAGGGCTGGACGATATGGCCAAAATTTATATCACGATATATTTCTTAATTTCGGTCGATACGATATAATTCCAATATCGATATGAACACTATTTATGGTATTTCCCTAAACCGACACACATCAATTTATTTTATTTTATTTTATTATTTTTTTCAGTTTACGAAAATGTTTTTTGAAATATCGAAATATCGGAAATGTGTTTAAAAATCATATCACCGTTATTGAAAAAAATTATATCGCGATACATATTGATATTGAATTATTGTCCAGCCCTAATTATAAGATGGAAACTCTCAAAAGACCCCATGCATGCCCAACAGTGATATCACATTGTTTTTACTCATATTTCTGACTTTTTGAGAATATTTCTACAGTTCTTTTTTCTTGGGGGACATTATACATTAAGGTTTGCAACTTTTCACTTCTCTATTTAAATAAGGGCATAGGCGGGCAACAACGAGAGGATGAATGTGTGAGAGTGAAGCAAAAAGTTTCGTAAACACTCACTTCCTCCTTCTGTAGTATTTTAGTGCCCTCTGCACAGAGTTCAGAAACCACAACAGACACTGATACATGCACTGATACACACAGAATTTAAAAAGCTAATGCCACGTTTCTCAATCGTCCTGCTCTTTCAGCCATGGTTTGTAGTAAATTCAATACTTAGCTTGTTTAAAGGTTTAAAGGTCAGGTAGTAAACATCAAGCAGCCATTTATTAGACAGTAGTTTGCATTGAAAGGCAACACAGTGTTCTTCCGTCTTGACCTGTTAATAAGGAAATGTGTCATGTGAGATGCTTTAATGATCAACGGGCGATGCAAAATGGGAGGGGAAGACATCTGAAAGGAAGAACATAAAATAAGAGAGATCTTAACAGGAAGCAGTTGTTTCCTATGAGTGTGAGTCATTTCGCAAATCTTTCCATCATTAAATGACAGGACAAGCCTCCACCTATCCTCCACATTGCAACTTTTTCTTGAGGGACTCGGCCGCTGTGGTCTTCACCAAAAGACACGTTCCCCAAAGACACAGGTAAGAATTCTGCCATCCCTTGATCTTTTAATGTGCTTTAGATTTTAATGTTCTTTAGATCTTCTGCATTTTTACAAGCATTTGTCTTTTATGTTTTTTCTCTTACATTCCTGAAGTACAAAGCATCATCTCAGCAGAAACTGTCAGTGCAATAGCTTTTGTTCTTTTTTGCTGGAATGCGATCATCATCCTTTACGGTCCAGCCACAGCTACATGGTAAATGAAACCAAAATGAGTGACAAAAAAAATTGTGCACCAAGTATTTTTGACAGCATTGCACAAAAGTAAATGTTTTCATTTATCAAAGATATTTTAGAAGTACAGTATTTGCAGTTGCATTATTAATTTGTGTGCAAAAGTGTCTGATGAAAGGGGAATTACCAAAGTGTTTGGCGTGTCATGTGTGGCCCATATGAGATATGCTTGATATAAAATACATGTTTTATTAGGCTACTAACATGACTGGAGTCTTTGTCTCATCTGAATGTACTTGATTTAAAACATTTGGAGGGAACCCCCACCCCCCTCAGAACAGTGATTACTGGTAACAAACTAAAACACTTTTGGAAATAAAATTGAAAAAAAAAAAAAACCTGGCAACTAATTGAAAGTACTAAAATAGTACAAAAACTAGATCTAAATCTGAAATAAATATAAATTAAAGCTAAACAAAATTAATAAAAATGACAAAAGCACAAACTAAAATTCAAATGAAAACCGAATAGAACAATAAAAGCTGATTCAAAATAAATAAATACTATAATAGTTTATACATAATACTAACACTGATTCAAAAGTACTTTGTGTTCTATTTGATTTTGTGTAGCAAGAGCTATTCTGAACTTTTTTTGCACAGATACCACATTAGGCTTTTAGCAAAGCAAAAAAAAACGAAGAAAATGTTATTTCCTGATGTGCTTGTGTTAATGTTGACAGCATTTGCATGGCATTACGATTTCTTGACTGAAAGACATAGAAAGCGAGATAGAGAACCAGGGATTCTGGTTGAGTGAAGAGACACACCCTCTACTGGTCACTCCACTTGTCATCTACAGGAAGGAAGAAAATGACATGGATACTGACTTTGACAAAACCACAAGTTGTAGGCCAAGACCTTGCATGATGTCCAACAAAAATATAACAAAACAACAAACTAATGCCCAGTTCTGCTACTTCCACAGCACACTTATGGGCTCCAACATAAGATGTATAGCAAAGTGGAGGAAAAGGCATCTGAAACCCCCAAAGACTCTGCTTGTTTTATTCCTGGCCATCAGCTTTATCTACAGTTGGTTGCTGGTGGTTAATAAACAACAACAACAACATCTGAATGGCAGCAATGCATCACTCCCAAATAATATCACCATCCTGTTATGGCACTGGCCATACGGCACCCGGTACAGCCTTGCGGGGGACGTGTGTCTGAGGGACTACGGCATCTCTGGATGTGTGCTAATGGACAATCGCACTCTCTATGAGAGCGCCGATCTAGTGGTTTTTCATCACTTTGAGCTGAAGCTGCATAAACAGCACCTTCCAGTGCATCTCCGTCGGCCCGCCAAACAGAGGTGGGTATGGCTTTCTTTAGAAGCACCACAAAACAACGGCAACTTGTCACCATACAACAACCTTTTCAACCTCACCATGTCATATCACTCTCATGCTGACATCACTGTGCCCTATGGGAAGCTGTTACAGAGAAAGAAACCAGGTCTAGACTTTGTTATCCCAAAAAACAAGAGTTATGAAGCCTGTTGGGTGGTTAGCAACTACCAAAAATGGCACAAGAGGAGCGCAGTGTTCCAGGAGCTAAACAAGAACCTCAATGTGCAACTGTATGGCCTTTCCGCCAAAAAACCTCTACCGAAGGAGGCGCTGCTTCCAACGATTTCACGCTGTTATTTCTACCTAGCCTTTGAGAACACACAGTCTCCGCAATACATCACCGAGAAGCTCTGGAGAAACGCTTTCCAGGCTGGGACCGTGCCCGTGGTGCTGGGACCGCCACGCAGAGACTATGAAGCCGTGGCGCCTCCGAATTCCTTCATCCATGTGGATGATTTTAAATCAATTAAGGCCCTGGCTGAGTATTTGAGAGGCCTAACTAAAGATCCAGAGAAGTATAATGCATATTTAAACTGGAGGCAAGACTATATGGTCAAATTATATACAGACTGGAGAGAACGATTCTGCAATATCTGTCCCATATACGGACAATTTCCAACTCAAAAGGTTTATGAGGATTTGAGAGCATGGGCAAAATGGTAGTTGACATTTTAAGGGGCTCTTCACACAGAACACGTTTTAGCGTGTAAAAAAAAAAAAAAAAGTCTGCAGACTTTTTTCGAAAAGTTGAATTTCTTTTAGCTTGAGAGATCTGGTTTTAGAATACGGTCATTCGCAAAATGCTGCAAAAGATGAAAGACAAGAGCGCAATGTTCAATGACTGTTTGTCTTAGTGAGTGCATAGAAAAACTACTGAAAAAAATGTAATGCAAAAATACAAGGTCTAGAGATGTGTTTTTTTTTTTTTTAAGTTGAACTTTTAACATGACAGTTGCATTTTTGGAACACTGTAGTGCCTGTAATGCTTCAAAAATTGCGAGATGCAAGCATGGTTAAAGGTCAAAGAGGTCCATCTAGAGCATGTTTACATAGGAAAAAAAATTGAAAGGCAAGGCAATGGAAAGCAAAAATGCGAGAAACAGGGTAGTGCAATGAGGGGAAAAAACATGCGAAGTGGAACTTTTATCTTGAGCACTGCGTTTTTAGAATCTCGTTGGTGAGATTCTGCAAAAGATGTGAGACAAACAGTCAAAGATTTCTATTAGCGCATGACAGAAATGCAATTGAAAAGCAGCATAAAGCAAAAAATGCACAAAAAACAAGCAACAGGGTAGTGGAATGAAAAAAAATGCAAGGTTTAGACCAGAGGTGCCCAAACTCGGTCCTGGAGGGCCGATGTCCTGCAGAGTTTAGCTCCAACCTGCCTCAACACACATGCCTGGAGGTTTCTAGTATGCCTAGTAAGAGCTTGATTTTGAGCTGGTTCAGGTGTGTCTAATTGGGGTTGGAGCTAAACTCTACAGGACACTGGCCCTCCAGGACCGAGTTTGGGCACCCATGGTCTAGACTATTTGAGAGCTGCGTTTTTATAATGATGTCTCATGCAAAATGCGAATGCAAAGACATCCGTCTAGCATGTTTAAATAGAAAATCTGTGGAAAAACAGTGCAGCGGAATGCAAAAACGTGAGTCACAAGGTGAAAAACCGAAGTATCAAAAGACCATTTTTACAACGCAGTGCAGTAGAACGGGAAAGTGTTCTAGGCGAGTTGTCCCAAAGCGGCCATTCACACAGAATGCTTTTTAAGTTTAAAAACAGACAAACGCAGAACAGTGGAATGGGGGAAAAAAACAACAAAAAAAAACAACTTGTGGCACATTTTTAGTCATGTGCGAAATGCTGAATAAAACATGAGCACAATCGGCAAAATGTGTCCATCTAGCACACGCTTACATAGAAAAACAATGGGAAAGCAGTGCAGTGGAAGGCAAAAACGTTCTGTGTGAATAGCCAGTAAGCACTTTACAGGCTACATGATGCAATATTTTATTACAATTCATACTGACAGCATCAGCAGCACCATTCATGTATAAATAAAGCATCACGCATTGGTGTGCACCTGTGCAAGCATAAAAACACAGAAGTTCTATTGCCATCTATGCTGCTGGGGCCATGGTGCCAAACTGAAACCACAATGTGCAAACCTTGCTTCCTCTCCTGTCAACATGCTTATATATATCCTGTGTACAAGGATTCTTGAAGGTTGGAACAAATATTTGCAAGCAAACCAGCAAAATTATAAAATAGCCTTTTTAAAAACTGGTGGGTCATACGTTTTTGGTTGGTTTGCACCATATCAAACATGCTTATTTTTTTTGCAGTGAATTGTCAGTTTAGATTTTGGTTCTGTGTTGGATCGCCAGTCGATATACAATAAAACATCTGGATCCTGAAACACCGTTTTAAACCAAGATACTTCATCTGTAAAACAAGTGTTAAGAGCAACAGGTTGATTTAGTCCCAAAAACAAACAAGAAGTGACTGTCAATGGAAATGGTTTAATTGCTACCCAATGATATTGTATGTGTTGAGCAGAGTTTCAATAAATTATCAAATATGGCTTTCATTTACATTGCATAGGGATGAGCATGCATGATAAAACACACCAAAAAGATAAGGCACATGACCTCCACAGAGAGGCTTCCAAACTGGCAGCAAATTTCATCTATAAATCACCCTGATAAAAAGATATTACACCTAGAATTATTTTCAATTGGAGATGGGAGAGTGCAAGCATTTAGAGAAAAAAGAACAGTGACTGATATCCTTTGCAAACCATCTAAAAAAAATAAATAAATAAAGGCCTCCTCCAAATTATAATAAAAAAAAAATCAATCTCTTTAAAAATCAAGTAATTAGTCAAAATACAAGATCTAAGTCTTGAATTTGCTGCCAGTTCACATAGAAATGTGGCGGAAAAACTACAAAGTATGAAGACAAATATGGAAATCATCAAATATTGAATGATAAGACAAATATATGTACATTAAAAATTGATACAGGAGCAAAAAGTCATAAAAACTATACAAATCGTATCTGAACCTATGACTTCATGTGCAAACGCATTAGTTCAACAAGGCACCCATTAGGCTGCTATTGTACAAAGTCAAGTCTAAACCAGACACTATACAATCAGAGCGTCCCAAGGCACATACGAAAAGAACCAAATAAACAGATGCAATGTTTACATAAAAATAAATCATATGGCTGATTTGATCCATAGCTTGGCTTCGAGCATCTCTATTTAAAATTTGGCAAGCACCTGTTTAGCTGGTGAGGTGACCCACCAGTCCAGGGTGCAGGGCGTTTTTAAAGACCTCCGGTCGGTGGAGGGAAGGCATGTATAGGGCAGGGGCTCCTCCAGGATGGGCTGGTCCAGGATAGCCTTGCCCTGGGAGGGCTGGTGGACTCTGGTCGTAATACTGTGCTTCAGCGCATTCATCATCAAAGGGCAACGCTAGACGTTTCCCCTTTTGTCTACGGTTGCAGAACCACACACGTACTACCTAAAGAAAAAAAGAAAAAAGAAAAAAAAAAAAAAAGACACCGTTTAGGTCAAGTGGGTTCTAGAAGCACTGACGGATCTAAATATGATGAATCCAAAGATTTTGAGGCATGCCTACATCTCTCTCCAGGCCGAGGTCATCAGATATATGAGTGATCTCCAGAGTGTTGGGTTTGGGGCACTTCACAAAGTACGACTCCAGAGCAGAACGGACTGTGCCTTCCAAACTGGTCCTCCGCTTTCTCTTTCTTGTGTAGACGAACACCCGTTCAATTTTGTACATCTGGAATATATCGAAGAATAGGTGATGAGGCACAATAAACTTGTTCTACATATGTTTGAAATAAGAGATTCAAACTAAATGTGCAATTATGCAAGCATTTCTGGAACATTTTATGCTTAGTCAATCATTGAATTGAATGGTCAAATATGTATTGCATAATGAACAGCAAAAACACGGCAAGTTTTGCAGGTCATCTTGTAGCTTGATATTTCAATGTAGTACTACAATAGTAAATGTTAACCCTGCCTGGTTTAAATGTATGAAAATGATTAAGAGTTGAAAACATTCATTAGAAATTTAGAAGAGTAATCCAAAAGTAATCAGTTGCATTACTTTAATATAGTAAAATAAATGGTGATATCACAAAGTATACAGTATGGAAGTGTGAAATGGTCTAATGTATCACACCTGAAAAGCTCACACCTGAAAAGATCCCCCCCCCCCGAATGTGATTTTGAGGGGGCCCTATAGCAAATTTTGTGCAATGGGCCCACAATCCCATAGCGACTCCACTGATTCCAAACATAGCCACCGCGTGTGTAAGTAAACAGGCGACTGAGAGGAGGCAGCACTTCACAAAGTACGACTCCAGAGCAGAACGGACTGTGCCTTCCAAACTGGTCCTCCGCTTTCTTTTTCTTGTGTCAATAAACACCCGTTCAATTTTGTACATCTGGAAGATATCGAAAAATTGGCCATGAGAGACAAACTTGCTCTACATGCATGCAATAAGAGATTTAAAACAAACTATACAATGTGCAATTATGCAAGCATTTCTGGAACACTTTATGCTCACTATTCAATCACTGTATTGAATGGTCAAATATGTATTAAATAATTAACTCTTTTTGCAGGTTGTCTTGTAGCTTGATATTCTACAGCAGAGGTGCCCAAAAGTTTAATTCGAATAGCAATAAATAAATAAAATAAACTGAAGGCTGAGGCAAAAGTAAATGTTGCATTATATATATATATATATATATATATATATATATATATATATATATATATACACACACACACATGCATTCAACATAATAATAATAAAAATACATTTAATAAAATCAGTTTTGTTTACTTCTGAGGTAAATAAATGGTGATATCACAAAGTATACAGTATGGAAGTGTGAAATGGTCTAATGTATCACACCTGAAAAGCTCACACCTGAAAAGATCCCCCCCCCCCGAATGTGATTTTGAGGGGGCCCTATAGCAAATTTTGTGCAATGGGCCCACAATCCCATAGCGACTCCACTGATTCCAAACATAGCCACCGCGTGTGTAAGTAAACAGGCGACTGAGCGGAGGTAAAATAGTATCAAGTTCAACACAGAGGTCGCCGTTTTGAGCGCACTTTACAGTAATGTAGTGTACTTACATCCTGAGGGTTTTCGGAATTCTCTGCCTCATTCAACCACCTCTGGAGCAGCGGCTTCAGTTTGCACATATTCTTGAAACTAAGTTGGAGAGCCTCAAAGCGGCAGATAGTCGTCTGACTGAACATTTTGCCTAGGCAAAAACACAAAGGTTTAAACGGTTAGCTTGAAACTATTTTCATTCATACATTTATATAGCCCTAATGGTCAAAGACCTGAAACTCACCATACAGATTTCCCAGCGCGAGCCCCACGTCTGCCTGCGTGAATCCCAAAGTGATGCGTTTGTGTTTGAGCTCTTTAGCAAACTGTTCCAAGTCTTCCGTAGTCAGATTCTCCTAAAAATGTAAATGGACAGTTGTTAACTTATACCCACAAACGACAAAGGTAAATAAATTACCCTTTAATTTAGGTCAAAAACCTTACCTCCTCCTCAGAATCACTGCACCCTCCACTGGAGGAGCCGCTGCTCCTGGCTGCGCTTTGCGCCTGACCCGAAGGGATGTTTTGCGCGGAGCCTCCGTTGAAAAAGCCCGGGCTTTCGAACCCATTTCCGGGTGGAGATGGAGACAGAGAAGGGGATGATGCGGAGGGAGTCGGGGGAGCTTGAGAAATATTTGCGGAGGCCGTAATATGAGACAGTCCAGGCCAAAACGAGGGGTTCCAGGGTGTGTAATAATTCACCCCGGTGGGTACAGATGATGTCCCGGGAGTGAGATTATATTGTGACGTCGGCTTGTTTTCTTCATTGGTGTATTCATCAACATCCTTTTCAGTTTTTACCTCAGCTGGAATCTTGATTTGTTCCCTGGTTTCAGCGATAGGCGGGCTGATGTTCGCCGGCTGGGTGGCTGCCGTCGCACCCGCGACCTGCCCGGTGAACTCGGGTGCAGCAAACGGGTACCAGTGTTTGGGGTGCGCAAAATCACTGCCTTGCAGATCGTTCGTTTTAAAATCGCCTGAAAATGGGAAGAAAGTTTGGTGTGTCAGAGGGTTGATTCCGTTGAAATGGTCTTTGTTCAAAAGCAGGCTTGGATCCTGAAGCATGCCGTGCGCGAACTGCAAGGACGCACCGCCAAGTCCATCCAGGCCCGGGGCTTGATGGTACATGGCCCTGTTGAGTTCATAGGGTCTGCAGTCCGTTCCTGTCGGGCTCTGTGGTCTCTCAGTCATCTTCTCAAAAAAAAAAAAAAGTTATTTAGGTTTTAAGCGAGAAAGCGTTGAGGCTGTTGGTTTGATAATCAACAAACGGCGATCAGTAGCTCCATGCCAGGATTTTCTTGTAGAAATACCAAACTTACTAAAACAAAGATTTCGAAGCGTCAGATTGTGCGTGCCAGTATCAGCCTGTGTGGAAATGTGCGGAGTCCTTGTGTGACGGCTATCAATTAGGCCTTCAGAACCGGCTAGTAACTCACCAACACCAACTCTTCCCAATCTCAATTCTGATCCTGGCCCACACAGGTTTTCCTAATCAATCGGAGTTGGAGGCTGGGGTCTTCTTAACCATCTCCTCTCCTATTGGTCACCTGAGACAATAAGCCACAGCTGACTGTGAATTTGTGAATGAACTTGGTTTTCTCATTGGGTGAGGACGTCTTTGGAAATGTGAGGTGTATCTGTATATAGGCTATTTGCATTTTCCAAAAGTGCACAAATCATACATTTACTCCTAATAAATATTTACCTTCAGTAAAACCTTTGAAAATTCATAAGATGAAATGCATAATAGGCTAAGCTTTCTCTTATGCATGTTGAGTATTTACAATACAAATAGCACTACGTATTAACGTGTGTATTATATTCATGCCACATTAAGTAAACTTTGTTTCAGTAATATGCACTTAATGAGCTTTCTTGATATTGAAATTCTTGACATCCGTGGGAAAATCCACTTTCTTGTTCACGAAGTGAACAGCAAGTTTTAAGAGACATTTTATACATTTAAACTCCGTTTACCACATTTCATTAAAAAATATTTTTGTATTTAATAAAACAAAATATATAATAAAACTGTATAATCGGTAAAACTGCATTCACGCGTATTTTTGCTGTTCTATTTGACCAAGAGAGACAAATAAAAGGTGAAATGTTTGTCTGTTGCTGATAAGCAGTGTTGGGGAGTAACTAGTTACATGTAACGGAATTACGTAATTTAATTACAAAATAAAAGTAATTGTAATCAGTTACAGTTACTAAGAAAAAATGTGTAATTAAATTACAGTTACTTATGAAAATGTTAAGGATTACAAAGGGGGTTACATCTGATTTTTTTCCACACACACTCCCACATACAGATTTATTTGAGTTCTTTCATAAGTTGCAGTGACTGCTCTAAAATATGAAACACCAATGTTTCAGAAGTTTATAACATGCTTATCTGATAGGGTTTATGTATATGCTTTATTTTTGTTTTAAGATTAACTGTTTTTTTCTAAGGCATTGTTAGATTCCAGTGTTTCCTGTCATAGATATGCAAATATTTGATTTCAAAAACAGTATCATAGCTATTAAACTATTTATTGTTATGATTTTAAATATGTATTTAACCTGATTTGCGCAGCCAGACATAAACAAATTTAGTGAATTGAATTGACATATGGCTAAGTATGGTGTCCCATACTCAGAATTTGTGCTCTGCATTTAACCCATCCAAGTGCACACACACAGCAGTGAACACACACACCGTAAACACACACCAACAAAGTTGGGGGTTTGGTGCCTTGCTCAAGGGTCTCACCTCAGTCGTGGTATTGAAGGTGGAAGAGAGCGCTGGTATTCACTCCAAAATCAAAATGGCTTTATAATTGAGACTCTTTAGGTTTTTGGGGGATTAAAAAAAAGGAGTGAATTTTGATCATTGTAGGGTGGTTGTGTCCACACTGCTAAGACACCTTTATATGCAAATGAAGATATTTTGCATCCATTGTCTCCTTTAAAATGAAAATATAATCTTAATTCAAGTGATGAAGGATTTCGAAAGTCTGAGAGTTATCAGTGTTGAGCACATATTGTAAGTTTAACCCTGCCTGGTTTACATGTTTGAAAATGATTAACAGTTGAAAACATTAGAAATGTAGAAAAGTAATCAAAAAGTAATCAAATGTAATCAGTTACATTACTTTAATAAAGTAATTAAAAAGCTACACTACTTATTACACTTTAAGTAGGGTAACTTGTAATCTGTAACCTATTACATTTCCAAAGTAACCTTCCCAACACTGCTGATAAGCAATTGGATTACAAGCGTCACATCTCCCACCTTCCCGCTGCTTGTTGAATCACTGATAGGAGCCATTCAAGAGCATTTTGAAAATAAAAATAATAGGCTAATACTGCAGTGATGTGGAAAAACATATAATTTTAGTTCACCTTTAATTTTAGCCAATAAGAAATTAATTCGAAAATAATAATAATTTTAGGCTACATGCTTAAAACTACTTGCAACGAAATGTTATTTATGCTAAGAAAATAATAAATGCGCACAATTACAATTAAGACACCGTAGTCAATGAAACGCATAATGTAGCCTATAAAAAAAGTTGTCTCAGATCATGGTGTGAAATCCTAAATTTATGACATTTTATAATCCGATATTCAAAATGCAGAAGTGTGCTTCCATATCGCTCATCCCTCCCCATGCACCCACCCAAAAATAAATTAATAAACATAAATACCAAATAAATTTAAAAAGCATTTTCTCCCTGATTTTAAGACTATTTTCTAAGCAGACTTTTATTTTATTATCTTTATATTTATATTTTATTAGTGCACTGTAAAAATGTTCTTTTTCATCCTATTAGCTGGAGAGGCTAAATTATAAACTCAAATTATATTAAACCTGAAAAAAAAAAAGAGTTGAATTTGGTATATTAAACAATTAAGTATAGAAATTGGTTAAATTAATTTGACGACTTAAAATAATATAAAATAACATATTTAGCCTACACTATACAGACATAATAAGTAGCCCAAGCTTCGTTCAGGCTTAAACGCATGATCAGTTGGCAAGCATGCTTTTTGTTTCATTACACATTGTTTACGGTTTGGTAGAGCTCTGCAGACTCATCGATACAGCTGTGCACCCCCGACAGAGCCGGTCGGTGCAGATTGCGGCAGGAAGACGCGCCGCAGGAAAGTGGATGGGGGAGGTATTGTGCCAGAAGAGCCCGAGGCCCCCCGCCGCTTTCAGATCCAGAGTTGCGATGGCCGGCCATTAGCCGCCTTTCAGCACTGAACAATAAGTCGCAACCCTTTGATTTCGCCCCTACCCCCTCCTCTGAAACAAACACTTGACAAAGTTTCACTGACACACTATCCCAAAGTCTCTTTCCAGCATAAACATGTACATACCGGAGTCTTATTGTTATAGGCCTTAGTCAAGGTAGCGCCATAGGCTATTTAATTTTTGACAGGAACGAAAACGAGGCTGTGAGGGATACAAGTACAGTGTTTTCAGTGGATTGTAGGCTATGCTGTTGTTTCACAATATACCAAATGTTCAGCTGACTAAACGTCTTTCCGAAATAAATAAATAAATAAAAATACTAGGACCTTCCCAGCTAACTGGGACGTTCTCACAACTTTTACAGACGTTTAAAAGTATATAAGGACAAAATGTTCTCAATGTAATGTTTATGTATCGTTCTTATAACTTTATTAATATTTGATATTCTCATAAAGTTGAGAGAAAACATTCTTAAGACAACATTCTCGGAATGTAATTATGGTGTTATTTGAACGTTCTCATGATGTTGAGAGAAAATCTTATCAGAACGACTGTATATGTTCTAAGAAACGCTTTGCATAACCTTTAACATTCTAATTACAAAAAAAGAGAAAAACTGGATATTTTATCGTTCTTAGAATAATAAGTGCTGCTTATTATTTTTTTGGAACCTGTCATACGTTTTTTAGGATTCTTTGATTAATAAAAAGTACAGCATTTATTCAAAATATAAATCTTTTCTAACAATATAAGTCTTTACTATAATTCTTTATAAATTTAACACATCCTTGCTGAATAAAAGTAGTAATTTCTTTCAAAACAGGAAAGAAAAAAAATGCTGTTCTTTTGAACTTTTTATTCATCAAAGAATCCTTAAAAAAAGTATCATATGTTCCCAAAAAAATATTAAGCAAAACAATGACAACATTCAAACATTGATAATAAATCAGCATATTAGAATGATTCCTGAAAGATCATGTGACACTGAAGACTGGAGTAAAGGCATCACAGGAATAAATTATATAATAAATATACTGTTTCTTTCTGTAGCCTATTTCTGATCAAATAAACACAGACTTGATGAGCATAAGAAACCTCTTTAAAAAAAACCACACATTAAAAATCTTACTGATCCCAATCTTTTGAACGGCAGCATATATACCTCAGCAATCTGCTTTGATTCCCATTCTAACCTCCCCGATGTTTCGCCACCCACCCAGAGCATCACACACCATCAGCACAAGCACAGCCAACTCAAATCTAGAACAATCAACCCCCTGCCTTCAAACACACTCTTGCAGACCAGGAGCTATAGGCCACAACTGAGCTGTCCATCTCTCCTGGTCACAAAGCCTAGGAAAGGACACACAGGAGGCCTCTGGGGCCAGTCAAAGCTTTTAAAAGACATCAAACCGCTGCTGCAGGCATTGTGCTGGCCCATGGACTTGGGTGGGGATTGTTATGTAAAGTGCAGACAGAAGAGGAGAAAGTGGAAAGAGATGACACGGGCCCAGTGAGGGATGGCAGAACCAGGATTAGGCTCCCAGGTGGCTCTGCTTAGCAGGCTTGTGTACTGTAAAATCTATAGTCAGCAAATCTTTTCTTAGCTTCATTACTCAGTGATATTACTGAATATTATTGAAGCGGATGCTCAGTAATATGGAGCAACAGCATCACCCCACCCTTGTTTACATGTAATGCATTCTGGAACATTTCAGAAGAAGGTTACATCTATATCAGCTGGATCAGAGTTATACATTATATATGCGAGAACCAAGTGTCGTTGCTGATAAAAGGGCGTATATGTGGTAAAGTACGAGTTGAGATGAAATGATGGCTTTGTGTTTGAAGATCACAATCTAAGGAGGAAGGAAATACAGGGAAAGCAAACATAAAGCTCTTACATGTGTCTATACAAACAACCCATATAAATATTTGATCAAAGTTAAGTAAAATGACTGTTTTAAACTTCTCAGTTGCTTTCTGATATCACTTTTATATCCAATATCATGGCATCTTAAGTATGAAACGGTGATCTGAGTTAATGGTTATTAACTAAAAACACCATAAAAATGTTTTAATTAAACATTGGCTTAATTCAAAAGAAATATAAAAAAAATGAGCTTCTTTTATTTAAACTATTTGCCAAAGCAACATTTTATATAGTTACTTGGTGTGTTAGTAAAACTACAACTGAAATAAAAATTAAAAACCTTTATAGGTATATAATAAAAAGGCAATAACTAAGAAAATGACAAAAACACGACTAAATAATAATAATAATAAAATAATGTTTAGACTAAAAATTAAAAATACAAAAGTAAAACTGAAACAAACAAACAAACAAACAAAAAACTGTACTAGTCTCTCAGTGACACTAAAATATCACTGATATCAAATTATCTATCAAACCCAATATGGAAGCTGGTTTGTGTTATTTCTATTCTCAGCTGTTGACTGTATTCTTCTGAATAATAATGACAGCAGCAATATTTAGACAATAATTTAAAAGAACCATAGACAACATGTTGTGTACTACATGCTATAGCATACTCTAGAAATATATTTTTATGTCATATTAAAGATCATTTTAAAGATATTTATATATATATTAATCTGACTTAATGTAGGCCCAAAGCATGAAAAAAAATGGATTGGTTGTGTCTGATTTTTTAACGACTTTCTTCTTACATATATAAAACTGACCCGGAGGTTTTAGTATCTGATAAACAGGTATGTGACCTCTCTTCCCTCTGCCCCATTCACTTATACAATCTGTCCGATGGCCTTTTGATTGCTTTTGACACCCTGCTGATGACTACTGCCTCTCTCCCCACATATCTTGACCTATGGCTGCCTTCCTCACCATTCACAGTTACAATGGCCTTTAATGGCTCTCCCCCCACAGACACCTCAATGAGGCTGGATCTGTGATGGGCTCCTCTGAACCACACCTTATGGGGCAGTTAAGTGGCCCATCGCAGAAAAGAGCCTTTACTGGGGGAGGTCGTGTCTCCTCTTGCCGCATTCTGTTTAGATGGATAAGCTGGAGAGGACAAACAAACATTTCAGCTTCAGTTTCTTTCAGAGAACAAGCTTTTTTTCAGCTCCAATCTAAAACAAATGTTAACAGAAATGAGACACTGACAGGTGTTTCAGAAGAATCCATGATTTGAGGTCAAACATACACTTTTGACAGTCCTTGATATTCATTTAGCTGATGCAACACCATCCATATGATCCAACTTGATTTATGGAATAGTTGCCCCAGTGCATTTAAAGTGATGTAATTTACTGTAATGTCACATATAATTCATTACTTATGGTTATCTGTTTGAGAGGTTTTATGTAAATATATAATACAATATAAATCTTCAATAGTCAAATGTATTAATTCTTTATTATACACTTGTGCTCTGAATAGCCACTTGTTTAATTTATGTGACACAGAACATCTTAATTGCTTGGAAATAAACTATGATTAAAATTTTTTGGTGTATTTCAATTTCCATTTTAAAGAAACGCTTTACTTTCAAACTTTCAGTTCATAAAAGAATTATGAAAAAGTATCAGAGTTTCCACAAAAAAGCAGCACAACTGTATTCAACATTTATAATAATAAAAATCTGCATATTAAAATTTATGGGGAATCATGAGACACTGAAGATTATAGTAATGACCGCTGAAAATTCAGCTTTACATTTTAAAATATATTAAAATAGAAAATGTTTATTTTAAATAGCAATAATATTATTATTTTATTTTTTATATTTTTGATCAAATAAATGCAGCCTTGGTGAGCATAAGGGAAATCCTTTATGACCCCAAACTTTTTGAATGCTGACTATAGCAATATTATATTTTATTAAAAAATAAATAAACTCTAATCCAAACAAGACTTTTAGTGTATTAACAGTATCAGAACAGCAGCTCTTGAATCATAACCGTCATCCCAGCTGATGATTGTTTTATAGCTCATATGCAAAAACATCACCACCCATACACTTTAAGGAAGTAATATATAATACATTTAAGTTTATTTATTTACACTAAAGTGATTTGAGCACAGGAACCTCAACGTCTCTCTGTTTCAGTATAACTAGTATTTCATTTCCTGATACAACCATTATATCATTAGATAAAAAAGGATTTGATATTTACTGAGGGTTACAAAGAAAAAAAATAAAGATCGCAAAGAGAGAGAGAAAGAGACTTCATATTGAAGAACATACATAGGAAAAATTACTAATGTGACAAAAAAAAAAAAATGAAACAGAACTATTCTTAATCTAAAAAAAAAAGTATATTTTGTTGTTTTAGATCAGCATAGATAAAGACAACCAAAAGTCCACAATAAGAAAATAATATTTGGATAAGGAGAGAGAAATAACACCAGTAAATGTCTGAGAGACCACTGTGTATTTCTTATACACAATAATCAGAAGAGGTGCTTCTGGAGGCAGCTTTGCCCAAAAACATGAAGACTGGTTAAAAAATTACATCTAGCTGAAAAAGATGCTTATAAAGATTCCTAACACGACCCTAAAGAGAAATGATTTTAAAAAGGAGGTGACATAAAAAGATGAGAAAACAAACCCCAGTTTTGAAGAATGAAGATGTGGTGCAAAGAAACCGCATTAAAAGGCCAGTCTGAGTTTCCACTGAGAGTTTGTGGTGTAAGAGTTCTTTCAGATTTCATATATGTGCATCGGAGTAAAAAAAAAAACTGTTTAACCACTGCTGTCTTTTACTTTTATTTACTCGAATGACTACATACCATCTGTTCTTCAGTATCTTTAGTTTGGGTGTTTTTCTCACTTTGTTCTGAAGGGCTAGGCATCAGCACCAATTTTTTTCGGTCATCTTTTTTCATTTGTGTGTGGTGTAACAGATGCAACTTCACCCTGTGGAGGAATGCTTTTAGGTGTGTTAGACCTATTCTAAAAGTATGCAGGGGTGTGTGTGTGTGTGTCCAGGTCACTTGTGATTTCTCTGGGAGTGCAAGGTGGAGTCGTCAAACAGTGGGTTTTTCACCTCCATCTCTCCAGTCTAAAGAATAAAAAATATATTACTTATTTTGTATTAATAGTGTCATAGAAACACATGCTAAATAGAGATACTACATGCTGAAGAGCTGCTAAATGCAAAAAAAATGTTTACACACCGGTGCCAGTCCAGGGCACTCGTACACGGTGAAATCTCCCACTTCATTCTCCTCATCTGATGAGGCCCCAGACTCTGAGACTTTAGGTTCTGCTTTATGTCTGTGTTCATAAAAAAAAAATTATATTAATGTCTATAACGGATATAATATAGAACACATTTTATGATACTTACATGCAAAGTTTAGTAGATAAATATTTTTCACAGTGCAATGGCTGCTTCAACTTTGTTATAATGTCATAGCAAGTGTAATGTATACATGTACATGAAAGTGGAAGCAAATAAGAAGGAAGGAAATGAGTAAGGAACGTTACATGTATTTTTACATTCATGTTCTTGGTCAGCATTCTCTTAAAGTGACTTACGATAAAAATGCACAAATAATGTGGAAAGGAAATCAGCTGAGAAGAGACAATGCAGCTAAAGCGACTAAACTAATGAAGTGGTCATGTATTGTGCTTACTTCTCCATTGAAAGCATCTGTTGTTTCTGATGCTGGTAGTGATACATCTGAGCACTGTGAGCCAGAGTTGTATCCCCAGACTAAAACATGGAAAGACATGGTCATAAACACATATTACAAGAAGTGTCAAAGTGTTTATTTTATTTTTCGATGTGTGAACTGTATGAATAATGTGAATGCTCTCACTGAAGTATGATTATGATTGGGGCCCGCAGCATGAAACGCAGGGTAATCAACTTTCTGAGCCAGACGAGTTTCTCTCTGTAACCTGTATAAAAAAAAAAAAAAATCAGGCTAAAGTTGGCAATAGAAAACACTGCGATTTACACTGAAATATTCATTTCGTAAAATTATTTGTCCACTAAATAAAAATAAATAAATAAAAATTATAAAATAATTTTATAATATACATTTAAAAAAATGGCACTGAAAATGATATAAAAAGGACATATATAGGATATAGACTAAAATAATATTTATTTTTCTTATTTAAAAGACTACAAAAAATTATATAAATATGGAAAATAAATTGCAAAATTTAAGAAGGTGGCACTGACAACAAAATTATAATTTATATTTATAATTAATATTCAAACTATTGTATGAAAAACCACACCACAGAATATTAAACAGAATATAAAAAATATTATAAATAAATATTTATAATATTTATAATTTATAATATGCAATACAAAATAATTAAAATTAAGATATGGCTTTTTTTGTTGTTTTTGTTGTCCTTTCCCTAAAATAGTTAAATACCACAGAATTAATTTTTACTTTTTGTAAATGGATTGCACTAATGTGCTGTTTTTGTTTTTTTTTGTACATTGTGGGATGCAAGACAATTTTGGCAATAAAAGTGAAATTGAAAATTGAAATTTAGAAAGGCTTCTATCTTTATTAGTTCATTAGATTGAACAGGAAGTCTGTTAAAAACACACTATGGTGGCATGATCATGGTTTGACCAGACAAACTGTATCACTGATAAATTGAAATAATAATAATAATAATAAAAAACTTACCTGACCCAGCAGACTGCAGCGATGATGAGTGCCATGGATCCCACAATAATGCATAAAGATATCATCACTGCTCCCAGTTACAAACACACACAATTATAAGAGAGAGAAACAGAGATAGACAAGAAAAAACATGAGGAGGACTGTCACAAACAGAACATTTTGCTTCATCGAAATGAGAGACACTCTCAATTAACAGCATGTGCATGAAGTGTGTAAAGTGACACATGCCAGAGACTTTCCATATAATTCAGAGAGGCTCACAGTGTACTAACATCTGAGGACAAGCCAATTAGAAAAGTAACATCATGTGATGAGCCTGCTGTTAAAATGCCATCTTTGTCAGGGATGCAGGCTCACAACACACTGATCATAATTAGGCTTTAAATAAAATCAGATAAAAACCTAGTGACACATACAGACTAGCAGGCTGTCTCTGGAAGAGTGGGGGGAGATGATCGGCCTGTGGCGGTCGGACGAGTTTGTGACTGGCTGGGGAGATTTAGGGGTCTGCTGTGTTGGGATCAATGGACCGCTGGTCGTTGGTTCTACAGTTGTGGGTTTGTACAGACTCTTCTGCTTCGATTGTGGAGGAGACTGTGAGCGAGAGTCTAAAGAGGTGAAAAGACAGAGAGAGCGAGAGAAAGAAAAAGGGCATAAAAATTATTTACAACAACAAAATTTCTGCTGATATGCAAAAAGGACTAATATTACCTAGTTTGGTGATGCTAAAAATTTACCATCACTGTTTGCTTTTTTTAATACAAAATTTTTAATAAAGATAAATAAAGAAAAATAAAGATTTTTCAAATTATATATGTTTCAGCTTTAATACACTTATCAAAATAACAAAAGCAGTCTAATGTCAAAAAGTTTCGGTTTTAATGACAAAGAATTATTCAAAATGTACACTACCGCTCAAAAGTTTGGGATCAGTAAGACTTGTAATGTTTTTTAAAGAAGTCTCTTCTGCTCATCATGGCTGCATTCCATTTATATCTGCACACGAGTTGAAAATATGTTCAAATACTCCATTTAATATCAAAGAGCTTTACATAAACACAAGTTTATAAATAAACATGCGTTTTTCACAAAATCTGTAATTTTCTGTTGCTGTTTGGATGTAGTAAAAGACCCGCAGGTCACGTCCACATCATCTGCTGTCACTGGCCATATTAAAATCAGAATTTGGAATAAATCATTCATACATGTACAAATGGGCCGAGAATTGAACAAATAGTTCTAATGTGGCTCAGAGGAAGACAGGAATCATGTCTTTGTGGCAGTTTTTCATGTGATGAAGGGATAATACAACACTTCTTCACCTTACAAATAGTTGTTGAAAGGAAAAAAATACTACAAAATGCAAATCATATTTTGTGAGAGGGTGTGACGTCGGTCCAACAGCAAAACAGCCACTAGTTTTGGAATCAAAACTGCAAAATTAGTAAGAAACAAGTACTGGATTTGATTCAACAAATTTGATGTAGGACAGTATTCATTTTTATCTTTATTTTAGCATTAAAAAATTATTGTTATTTTCATGTTACTATACTACATTCTTGTTTGCAGTATTTTTCCAATGTTAACTAAGCAGCAAAGGCTTCTGCAATCCAAATGTACCGTTATTTGTCACACTGGCCAAGCACACTACATGTAAACAGAAACTTCACACATAGCAAAGAGCGAGCGAGGTGCAAAGTTCAGAAGGGTTTGCTATGAATCATGACCACTATAACCGCTACACTACCTCACTAACCATAACCACACAGATTTTAAAAACAGATAGGTCAAACCTGTTTTTTTGACTTCTGACATTTGCTGCTTGTTAATAACAGAGGACAGATAGTCGATTTCTTCATCAATGTCAGGATGAGAGGCTGAGGAAATACCTGTGGAAATAAAGATGGAATGTGATATGGTAAAAAAAAAAAAATATCAAGAGACAAACATGGTTCTGCCATTGAACAGGCACAAAAATCATTGTACCATGTTTTAATTTAAAAAAACACGTTTTTTCCTGTACTTTATACCAAAATTAGTTCAGCCTCAACTGTATTGGGAGTATATTATGAAACTTTGTAAATACTGATATATATATATATATATAATCTATGAGAGAAGTGTGATGACTGGACTGTGTGTGTCCTGAGAGTGAGAGTGTGCCAGAGAGTTGTTTGTTTGACACGCTCTAAAGGGAAAACAAAGGCAGCACATGGTTTAATGGTACGCTTGGCCAGACAGTAAGCTGCATTCCAAGACTATGGAAGATCATCTCTCTCGACAACCAGCCTGAGTGTGTGTGTGGCCAATGAGCGGGGGTGTGTGATCACTCATAACCTCTTACACACCGGATCACAACACAAACTCCTGGAACGTTCAGAATGGAAAGAATTGTGAGTGTTGAACAAGTGAATCAGTAAACTGATCCGAAAGAACTGATTCATAGAAAGGAATCAAAACTCTTGTCATTTATCTTGAATAAATCAATTTCTATCATGAGAACGCTCAAAAGATTTTAGCATGGTAATGGATACGACAATGTTAATGTATTTGGTCTTGGCGGAATAGATCTTCTACGCTGCTGCTGAATTGGTGCTGCTGTTGGTTATTGCTGTATTTGTAGATTATTGCTGCTGCTGCAAGCAAGTACAGGAACTTGCTACTGCCAATACATAAGCTGATATGGTGCTGTGAGTATTTAAGACATACTGCTGCTGCACAAATAGCATATAAAATAACCTGTAGCAGATCTATACAGCTGGAGCTGGGGAAGGTAGAGGGTTTCAGAGGAACTCTTAAAGCGTGCTGCAATGCTCAAGCGAATGCTAATCGGCCATTTAAATGTAAAGCAGCAAGCTCATTGGTTGCGTATGCAACGGGAACCAATCAGCTTGTGACAAGTCGTTTAGTGCTAAGATTTTATATAGTAAAAAAAAATTATATCTCCAGGTTCTTTGTATTACCAACAAAATAATATTGAATAGATCATAATGTATCATAAATAATGTAATATATCGCCCAGCCCTGGTTTTGTTTGCTCTTCCTTTAAAACACACACATTAACAAAGGTCACATACATAAAGTTAACAGCCATGGCACTGCATGGTGAGGTGTTGCATATAGTACAAAGCTTGTGTTTGCAAAGAGCTGAAAAAAAGTGTCATTTCCATACAGAAGATTATGTTGATTATCAACCTTGCACATAGAATATAAATATCAAAACTTTCCTCAGGACTGTACCACAAAGTGCTTACAGACCGGGGCTACTGGAAAACAGAAAGTTTATTGTGATGAAGGTTTGTGTTTAGTCTACAGAAGACTGGCCAGAACAGCACATATCGCTGTCTGAACACCCCCACGCTCCACAGCAGGTGTCAAAGGAGGCGGGTCAAACCATCTGTACTTGTTTTGAGGGGACAAGTGGACCTGTAAATCTGTGGTGTACACAAACAGTCCAGCCTGACTAAAGCTGATGTATGAGCAGCAGAATGAACAATTCAATAAAGTTTTGACTTAGTAGGTGCTAGATGTACAAAAGCAACTATTTCCACAATTTTACATGCAATTTAATCTGTAAACACTATAATTATTCAAACTATTATGAAATCAGAGGAGTATTTTTTTATAATACACATTTGTGAAAAGTGTATAAAGAAAGATTAATTTTAAATCTAAGATTAGATTACTCAATTGTTATACTTTTATTGCTCACTACAAGTCTGTACACTTCACTGGTGATGGGAAAATCCACACTGTAAAAAATGACTTTTTGAAGCTGTAAATAAAACAAAATGATTATTGGAGTGCGTATCACAGGAAGATACTATTTCAAAATGTCATGTTTAAGTCAATGTGTTACTTGCTGTTTTTGTGTAACGGTGAAATTCATTAGCAATTTCTGAGTGAAAATTGTTTCTACACCAATTTTGTTTTTTTAGATTGGCAATATTAAGACATATTATGCCATCACAAAATTATGCTTTGATACCACAGACCATTTACTGTTTGAATTTGCATGTAAAACAAGCAATTTACCCCAAAAAAAATAAATAAATGCATGAATGCATACTTCCAAAATCCTCCCGAAAAAGCATATTAAAAATGTTCCTGTTCCAACTATTTTCGGCATACTATAATTCGGGACACACTAATTTCTCTGACTCCTGACTTTTGTTAGTTTATCATGCAGCTTTCTATAACTAGTCAGCTACAACAGCTCTGACATGCATCTGAAACCAAGCAGCAATATATAGGCTATTTTTGAAGTTTTTGATGTGATTATACTGCCATCTAGTGGTGACTTCACTAAGTGCATTGGTCAGTGATTATCATTGGTCAGAGGATTGACAGCTCAAATCAAAAAACAACGTAGTGATGACACATCAATACAACTCAACTCTAAAAAAAAAAAAAAAAAAAAAAAGGTTCAATTATTATGTTTCCAAAATAGTACAACCAGACAGTCTGTTTCCGTCAATATGATAAAATCAGGGAGGTGTTTATTGACTGTTGTCCTGGTCTCCGGTGTCTCTCTCTGTCCAAACAGTGCTGCAAAAATGAGACTGCTGACCTACATAGACGGATGACGATTAGTCGCAGACACTTCGGTTTAGTTGATGGCTGTTAATACCTTGTCAATGTGGCCCAAATTCAAGGGCAGGAAAAAAAAATCAGGATTTCAAATACATTATGGGGTATAAAAATCCACATGAATTTTTACTGTTCTTTAAAACTCTAAAACACCCAGTGTTGTTCACTCGTGACAATATTAAAGCAAAGAGACTTGTGACTTGTGACTGTTTGATCAGTAAACTCTTTAACAGCAGGTTCCACCTTGGTCTAACATTGATTCACTATCGCTTTAATTGCGCTCTTTGAATCTTTAAGACTGTCCTGTAAAGCATTTCAAAAGGCCAGAGGTGAGAGTATAAGACACAAAACTGCTCTAAAAATCAAGGAAAACTATTCTACTTGAGAATACAGAGCGGGTAACATTTCATTAGTATATCTCTGTTTATCAATAATGATGTCAAATGCACTGTTAAACACTAAACACATTTAAACGCGATTGTTTTTGAAGATATTTTTGGAAACACGCAGGCTCTAGCTACACAAATGAATCGCTTGAAATGAAACCAGCTCTTTATCACACTCTTCATCAGTGAGGCAGGCCAGTGTTTGGAGAGCTGAATCACTCGTTACAGGAAAGGTAGAGCAGAGTATGAGAGAGAGAGAGAAGATACATTTGTGTTTACTGTAAATTTAGCTAGCTGGCTAACAAGAGATGAGGTTTTGTCGAAAGTATGAGATATGGAAACATTTTATGAAATCGTATAAATATTAAAATGTATAATACATGTAATTTGCTTTAGATGAGACATTGGTACCAACGGCACTCCTTTTTATCACCCTTGTAAACATTAAAAAGAAACTGCCATATGTAATTGTATTTTTCAGCAAAACTTTATGAATTTAAAGCTGTCATGGAACTACTTTATAGTTGTCAGAGCCATTAATAAAAAGTTTATAACATTTTCTGGATCTTAAGAGTGACATTTTGTATTTTAATATATGCATATTTTGAATATTTATACTGTATCACATTACATAACTAGTAAATTTCATGCAGTTTCATTTTTTTTTATCTGAAGGATGCTTGGTTCTAGACAGTCTTTTGACCAATGAAATTGTTAAAATAATATTTAATTTCAAAAATCAAACTTAAGAACTATTGTTTTTGTAACCTGACGCTGTTATGCTAAGTTTATGGTTTTATGCTTCAAATCCTTTTGTGCATGACTCCTGTGGAAATGGCGAAGAATGGAAAATGGCTTAGACCACAATTATAATAGTCACAGATTTTCCGCAATTATAGTAAATTAAAACCTAATAAATGAATAATAAAAATTATAATTGATATATATAATTAAAAAAATATATATACACATATAAAAATAATTTATTGCTAAAGATGACAAAAAATATTTTGCACAAAAGAAAAACCAATGACTACAGTATTGCAATAGATTTAAAAAAAGAGTGCAATTTCTTTCTGCTAGAGCAGCGCTCACATGAAATTACATTAAAGCCAAGGCAGCACACAGACACGCGCGTGCATGCTTACAATCCATCTGATTAAATTCAGCCATGTGCCTCAGCCACACGAGGAGAGAGAGAGAGAGAGATTAAGCATTATGCTCACCACAAAACCAATAGAAACAGTGAGAGAGGAGAGAAACGAGAGCAAAAGCACAGGCCAGATGATGGGAGGATCTGTGCTCTAAGCCATCAACATCATCTCCTCTTTCACCATGGCATTAGTCACAGGCCGAGGGTTCGATTAATGAACGCACAGTATTCGGCTCGAGAAAACGGTTGTGTGTCGCCTGACTCACAGTTTGTTGATGCACGAGCACCAAAGTACAGGCCAGATTAGACAATATTTGCGAAATAAATCATGACACAGTAGCTAGAAGGTGGGTATGGTGGGTGTGTGAAAGCCTTCGTACCGTGAAGGTGGTGCTGGGGAGAGTGTGTCCTGCGAGCAACACAATGTCCTGCTTCATCTTCCTTCAATGGGGTGAGGCAGGGGCCACAGTGGGAGGAGCCAGGCTTGCAGAAGTGCCGCCCCTTTCTGGCACAGTCTATGTGATCGGGGCACTTGTTTGCTGAGAAAATTGAAAAGACATGTTGAAAGAATAAAAAAAAAATACACAAATTATATTACCCCGCACAAACGAACTTTTCTAGTGCCCTGAAGTGCTACATGTTACATGCCATGTGTTTGAATACTAATGTGCCTTAAAAATCATAATGCAGTAGTGCACCAGGTGTTACTGGCAGGTGAAGGAAATGATGTTCATTCAAAGTCATCATTTCCTCTGAAGCCACACCTGCATGTTTTTGTATTGGTGTTGTTGTTTCTGCAGATAGAGAATATTATTATGCCCCTTTAAAAATTCATAATGATGTTGATTTTAATATTTAAAAAATGAAGGTTAATGTATATCCATTTATTTATTTTCAACTTGTCATGTTCATGCAAAGCCAGTAAACCTGGAAACTTTCCCATCACACGTACAAGGATAGAACCGAAGGATATGACGTATAAGCATCCCGCAGATGCTGTTGATAGAGCTTTACTTGTATTGAACCTGAAAATTCCTTGAAGCCTCGAAAACATTCAATGGTAAAAAGTACCAAATGACATCAATGCTATTGAGTTCAGTCTGCCTCATATCCTTGACTGACTCTCAAGCACTCGAGATACTCTAAAATCAGTCATCGGTACAAACACGCTTGAATGACTCAAATCGGTCCACAGATGCAATCATAATCTCAGCTCCTTCTCTTCAATAATAGTTTTTCATATGTGCTCCTATTCTCTATAAATCCCTCAATTTTCTTTGTAATTCACCCTGTGGGGTGCAGAAGGAAACTGGGTCAGCAGCAGGTGCGTGTGTGCTTTCAAAGTGCTTGTGGATTTCACTGTGGATGAGTGTTATTTTTTTATATTAACACTATATTTACAGTGTTACTATTATATTTTTTGCTATTTTTAAAATGAGATTATTTATTATTCTTAATAAAAATATTTATATATTTTTAATTTTTTAATAGTTTGCTTAATTTTTTATTTTAATATTACTTTAAGTTGTAGTAACTGTTGTCTTTTTTATATTTTTATTATTTATTTATCGTTTTTATTAAATTGAATTTTTTAAAGTTATTTTAGTACTTCAAAGAAAATAAGCAATGTTGTCTTGGCAACTAGTTTTTTTAAAGGGGTGGTTGATTGCGATTTCACTTTTTTAACGTTAGTTAGTGTGTAATGTTGCTGTTTGAGCATAAACAATATCTGCAAAGTTGCAGCGCTGAAAGTTCAATGCAAACGGAGATATCGTCTTTTAAAATTCTGGCAGTTTAATGCCTACAAAAACGGCTGGTAAGGGACTACAACGAACTTCTTCCCAGGTCCGTTACGTCACGAACCCAGATAAACCCTGCCTCAGAGAACACGCAGCAAAGGGGGTGAGGCCTTGCTGCACTGCTTTAGAGAAGAGGAAGCGAAAACTAGGGGTGCACGTAAAAATCTGTTCATATATGAATCGCGATTCTGTCTTCTAACGATTCTAATGGATTCACAAGTTTCAAAACCAATGTTCTAAAGCAGCGTTCTCATCCTGTTCCTCGCGTCGCCCTGCTCGGCATCTCTCTCTCTCTCTCGCTCTCATTCAGATCGTCAGATCAGCTCCAACAAACTGTTCCATTTATACACTTATTTTCACATAGCTATGAGAAGCGTTATACATGGACGTGCCACAATCAAGCCTAGAAAAAAAAACAGTCAACCACCCCTTTAATATATATTTTATTTCAGATAATGTTTATTTTAATTAATACATTTTTTATGGTTTTAGCTTTAGTCTCCTGTGAGCCTTATCAACGGAATTTCAAAACTGTGAATTTTGAGTAAATATTATAGGATAATGTAAATAACCCAGTGAACATCTCTTTTGCTGTCATTAAAATGTACTGCATTTCTCCATTACACTGTAAATCAGCCACTTTGTTTTATAAATATTAGAAATGGCATTAAGTCAATAAAAACCCTTATTACTTCATCAGGAATTTGGCTAAATAAATGAATAAATAAAATTTAAAAACGTATACTTATGGCATCTACAGGAGCATATTCTATTGCTTAACAACCTGGGAGCTCATGCCATGGTAGGCATTCCTTAAAATGTTATATGTTAAAGGGGTCATATGACGTTGCTAAAAATAACATTATTTTGTGTATTTGGTGTAATGAAATGTATGTATGCGGTTTAAGGTTAAAAAAACATATTATTTTCCACATACTGTACATTATTGTTTCTCCTCTATGCCCCGCCTTCTGAAACGCGTCGATTTTTACAAAGCTCATCGGTCTGAAAAAGCGAGGTGTGCTCTGATTGGCCAGCTATCCAGTGCGTTGTGATTGGCCGAATGCCTCAAGCGTGTGACGGAAATGTTACGCCCCTTAACATACTGTGATGCCGTCTCCCAGCAGGACAAGACAAAACCAATAAAATCCATTACAAATGAGGCATTTGTTGCATTCAGTGGGGACATAATTACTGATTATAATGACTTATACTGTCTTTTTACGCGTTGCGTTGCGTATCGCGCAAACATAAAACCATGTCTGCAAAAAATTGAAATCGCATCATATGACCCCTTTAAAGCTAAAAAGCAATTTATCCCTGAATAAAATTAAAAGTATTTTTACTTCCAGAACCCTAGTGAGGTACTCCAAGCAAAATGTCTATTAATTTTCAGCTGCCGAGAATAAGTGCTTCAGTGTTGTGTGATGACTGGATCTCTATTCGTCACTCTGACATCAACTGGCAGATGTCAGTAGGAACTCAGAGCTGAGTATCAACCTAATGACACACATTCCATCCGGAAGAATTTAAATGAGTGTAAAGCATCAAACAATCATTCACGATTTGTCCCAGATGGCTCGTTCTTAATGGAGAATGAAGCTTAACTAGACCGTGATACTGGACTAATGGTCTAAGACAAAATTGTGTGATTTTCAAATGGCTTACAAAAACACTTTTCATTGTTACAGTGACATTTTTATATTCACAGGCCTCCTTGAGGATGATGTGTTTCCAGGCAACAATACTTATTTAAAAAAGCTGTTATGAAAGTGTAGAAGTGCCCTGCCAACTCAAATGCTTCCATACACCACAGCAGGAATAAACATTTCTTATTATTATCAGTGTTGAAAACAGTGCTGCTAAATATTTTTGTGGAAACTGTGATGATTGTTTTTTAATTCTTTAATGAACAGAAAGTTCTAAAGAACACCATTTATTTGCAATAGAAATCTTTTGTAACATTAATCTGCACTGTCACTTTTGATCAATTTAATGCATCCTCGCTGAATAGAAGTATTAATTTCTTTTTTTTTAACTGACCCCATACTTTTGACCGATAGTGTCCTTAAATAATCACTGAAAATATAATATTAGCATAAACTGCACAAGCCCAAAACAAACAGAATCTGTCACACAACCTGTTTCTACCAAGTGACAGATGAATTTATGCCAAAAATATGATACTGACAAAACAAATAGGGAAAATGTTACTTTCTCCCTATTCATGTCTATATGACATTCTGCATATTAAGAAAATCTTTATCTTCAGTTGCGTGCTGGTGGTGTGGTGGATCGATCCCTGCAAGGATCTTGCCATAAGTTTTTTGACCATATCACCATTGTACCCTTTTGCTGCTCAATATGCATTGATTTCTGCTCATCACTAGAGAGTACAGACCTCATCATCTCTCATTAGTCGTCATAAAACACCACCAGATTGCTTTTAAATCTGGACGAGGAGTCACGAGAACTGAGATTAACTGACTAATGAGGTGCAACTGTATGTGTGCATGTGAGAGAGAGATGCACATTCTTCTAAACACCCCGCTGGGCCACCCACCTCCAGCCGGTCATGGACATTCATTTACACAATCAACCACAAGCTCAAGCTGCGCTTGGAAATAAGGAGGAAATTTGGAAGCAACAGGTTTTTTAAGCTACACTGCAGTAAATATACTTCTATTTAAGTAACTACTTGACTACTGTATCATTTTGCTGAATGTTTTATCCCAAATTATCTTGCAGCACACTTACTAACTACACAAATGTCGTTTTGAGTAGAATGATCTTAAAGGAAAACATATATCTTAAAAAAAAATTGTTCCTCATGTTGTTTCAAACACGAGACTTTTTTTTTCTGTGGAAACCAAAAGATATTTTGAAGAACTGTTTTTGCCACACAATGAAAGCCAGTGGGGTTTGAAAACAACATTGGACTCCACTGACTTACTGCATGGACAAAAAAACATTGAGATCTCTTTATTTATTTTTGTGTAGGACCCCATTGTTTTAGCTAACAGAGCTTGCTGACTTATAGAAATCGTAATGTTTCTGGTTGGAGAAGATGCTTTGATCGCCAGTCCATCTCTGCTCATCAAAACATCAATGACATAACACTGATCAAAGTCAAACCTGTCAGACAACTTATAATTATATTTGGACTCTTTGAAGGACCAGCTAATAGAAATGAAATTGCATTCATGTGTACAATCAAGTATGACATGTAGACCTTGAAAAGAAAGACAAGAGCACCAGTGGATCTCATTGGACACAGGGCCATTCCTAAAGCAATCTATTTATATATTTGATATATATTTAATATAAAATAAAAATATATAAAATATATATAAAAAAATAATATAGTATATAATAATATAAAACTAAATAAACTGATATGCTACCACATAAGTGCATTTATCGGCACTCAAACATGGCTCATCCAGTCAGATGTTACTGTTTTAAGTATTCTGTACTCATAACATGAAGCTAAATGACCTTTGCACTTAGTTCCAAAACAAACAAAAAAAAGAAATAAATGTGATTAGGAATTTTGTAGTTTAAAATTATTTGGCTACAATTAAAATAAAATAGAATTAAATAAATCAGCATTAGCCTACTACATGGTTTTGTAAACTATAAAATATATATAAAAAAATCAAATAATTAAATGTGATTAGGTATTTTCTATTTGTAAATTATTTAAATAAAATTCTTAAAAATAATAAAATAAAACGAAA